AATGGGTTCGCAGGTATCAGTGCCGTTGTAGACAGGTCTTCTGAAACTTCCGTACATAAAAATTTGATATTTTAACCAAGTATGTCTTAGTAACGTCTATCTGTGCTACTAGTAAGAAGCATACTAAACTTAGGCTGCCTGTCTACAGTTAGCTCCACTTGAGAACAGACATTAAGCTAGTTGACCGACATTTTAAGTCCTTAATCGACGATTTTTATCGAAGGCAATAAGTATTCATCGAGAATTATGAAAAGTATATATTCTGCTTCCATTTTATAAAATTGAAAAAGTTTATTTAGTCTTTGTGTGTATGACAGATATGAAACGGAGTATACGCATAACAAAACAGTATACTAATATTTGGATATGGCGGCCATTTAGGAAAGAGATCTGTTCTCGAAGTATGAAGTAGATGGATCTGTGTGCAGAATGGGGAGGTTGCAGCCAGCCAAACGGGGGTTATTATGGATGTGGCCATAGAGACAACATATCAGTTATCATCAACTCATGTCTAGAACAACCCCGTGATTTACAGCCAACATCGTCAGGTTTTGGACATGAACGGCTAATTTCGGTCGCAAACTAATTGTCGACAAGAAGAAAAGTGAGTGGCGCATTGGACTATCATCACTTGGTAAAACTGACCCCACGATGCATATTATAGGGGTATACCTAGAACAGTATTGATGTAATGCGAAACAATTCAGACCGCAGTAGCGTTATATTTTATTTAATTCTGGTTTATCTTCGCCAGGAGCTCTTTCTTTACCAATTTTGTTGTGTTGTACCCTTTGATTATGAGGGTCAGTCCAATTTTGAGTTCAGGTTCACCACCACCATTCAGACTAATGCAGTTATTTCTGCTGTGTTCCTTGTCCAAAACAAACTCTAAATCGTGTGTTCCACTGCGAATATTTGAAATATTTCCTGGGGAGGCACCATCTGAAAAATCATTTCGCCGTAGTAGTTCCGTTCAGGGTCAAGTTTTTACACTTCCCGTTCATTGTGGGCAGTTTAAAGAAAATAAATAACGTTTTGGGGATCCCTGTCGGTGTGAGGGTTGTTCATTGTATAGGTGGTCCCTTTTCAGTCAAAGTAGACAGAGTAGTTTGATAGCTTCATAGGAAGCCGTGTCCCCTTTCTGTCTACAGGGGTCGGTTGTCGTTGGATGGGTTCACTGTTTCTTTGAAACGGAAATGCTTCCTTTAAAACTTTCATTGTTGCGTGGAAGAGTGGAAGTCGATAAGTCTGAAGGCAGTAGTTTATATTATATAACAGGATCTAGTTAGTCTGATGTTCGACATTTTGTCTGCTCTCTAATCGTATACTCATTGATTGTAAAAACATTTACTGTCAAATCAACTCATCCCGACGGCGGTAACTTCTGTAACTGCTTGTGTAACCAGTTAATTTTACATCAAAACTGATCGAATGTTTTCGTGTGTAATTTTTAAATTGAATTCCAAAGATATTTTCTACGTAAATTGACTTCCTCTTTTGGGGCGCAGATTTAATTCCCGCACAAAATCACGCGTTCCATCTTTACATGTCTTTAATGTAATTATCTGAGTTTTTTCCAACTGCTCCTTGGCGTCGGAGTCCAAAATCAATTGTTCGTTGGTTAGTGGGCTTAACTTCCTCTTCGGCGGAGGATGACACCTAAGACATACGCATAAGATCAAGCGATTATGGGTTTAAATAGTAGATTAATGTTGTAGCTTGTTTTCAAAAGTTTCTTAAAAATAATCATTGTACGCCTCGGTATGCAATGGCAGTACTTGAATAGCGTCCTATCTGGTAATAACCGAAACTTCCTATTCGACCGAGGGTAATATCGAAGGCAAACTCACAATGTTAAGCAGTGATGGGGTATAGATTCATGCTCTAGTTTGTTTTCAAAAGTTATTGCACGGTTCGGTATGCAACGGCAATACTTGAATGACGTAATATCTGGTAATAATCGAAACTTCCTCTTCAACGGAGGATGATATCGAAGACAAACTTACAAGATTAAGCAGTGATGGGTTTAAATAGTAGATCAGCGTTGTAGTTAGTTTTCAAAAGATTCTTAATAATAATTATTGGTATTCAATCGCAGTGAGCTCATCCTGCCGTACGTTGACCGTTTGGTTACAATATAACCAAAGGTGGTTATTTTCTATGGAGATATCGGGGCGTAATTTGCCTCTATATCCATCGATCATTCACACCACTCATATTTTACTACCGAGGATACGAATCAACCTACCACAAGATATTATAAGTAACTGTTGTCAATTTAAGACTATACTCTTTAGACGTATCGGACCAAAGATTTCAGATCACACTAGACAATGACGTAAAGATGCTATTTGGTTCTGTTGGTGGCCTTTTGCTCTTTGACGCCTTTCTATCTTGGCACATTGTCATACAAGTCATTACCTAGAATTTTAATTTAACGCCTCGATGACTTGTGAAATGGAAAATTATTTGTGTAATATCTGAGATGAAATTAGTAAAGTGTGTCACAGTTTACAGATCCTATAGTATATTGTGCAATCTGTGATAATTTATAGCAGTAGTATGTATAGGCTTCATTTTGTAAAGCCTTTACGAGGCAAATATTGATTGATATCACAGATGGTTCAGGTGTTGTGCATGTCACAAGTTAAGAGTATGCATATTCTTCCAGAACATTGAACATTTAATATTACTTCACTATTAGAGTATTGATTATTCCTATTGTTGTCTTTATTGTGTTATATACTTAATTGATTTATATAATTGGTTACACGTAAGGATCTATTACATACAGTATATGTATTTCAATTTCGATGAGATTGTGGCAAAGGTCATAAAAGAATAGATGCGAGGTACATTCCCACTCACGTTGGAGGGACTATTTAAAATTTAAAGGTGGCTGTGGACAACTCATTGTGTTTTTCACTTGATATCCTGACTTTTAAAGTTTGTGAATATGAATGAGGGCGAGGTTTTGCCAATTTGTTGACACCTTACTGGCACACCACATCCCTCACGAAAAATATCTTTATCTTGTAAAATGTTAAATAGATGAATTATTGGAAGCCCAATCCATCTGAAATGTAACATGACGTCTTGTGAATTCCACGAGATCACCAGAGATTAACTTTGTCTATAATGTACATTATTATCGTCTTGTCCTACATGAATATAAATATTAGGTCAAAGTTCACTGGTATTATTGGATTATATGAACAAATTCCTAATCATAACTACGGCACGTCAGTTCAATAACAAGCTAGGAATGTACACCATAAATATGCTGTCAAATAATGGTTTTAGGACATAGCAGTACCAAAAATAGTTGGGGTTTTTTCTATTTAAAACAAGTACGAGTGTACTACGGAACAGGAACCGATTGTGGTGTCATCGCAGCCACCTTGATCTATTTACTTGATTTGATATTTTGTTTCAATAGCATTTAGTAATTGAACTTGAACATTCAGGTCACAATTCTATGGAATACAATTACTGCCTATTACTGAGCGACGTTTCGGATAGGCCTCTCTAGACAATGATAAAATATAAAATATAACAAGACAATATATACACGTAAAAACAACACCAGGTTAAGGAATCCTAACTTAAAGATACATTAGTTAAAAGTTTAATAGAAAGTTGGTCATTCTTGCTATAATAATTTAAAATATTGAAAATTTCAGCCAAATTACTTCATTCTGAGCCAAACTATCACTGTTTATTGTTTTGACAAGGTGTGTACATAGTGGTAACTAGCGCACTGGTATATTCGCGACTTAGCCTCGCTTTCCCATTTTTAAATTAAATTTTCAAAAGGCGAACCGTTCTAATGAGTAATGTAGTTAAAATCGCAAGTATCCGATGCCATCGAGAGTTGATTATGGTCTTGTTTTGTTAATAAATGTGTAATTAATAGTTTAAATAACATTTCAGGCCTAACGAAAGACCTGCAATAGGCAGATTTACCTCTTGCATAACGTATGTTTAATTGAAGTAATGTGATTATGGAAGTGATCAAGGTTGATAAGGGTAATAGGCCTACTAATAACAACATCTTATATGACAGACCACTTTGACTGAAAATATAACAAATTGACTAATGGATAACTTGTTGTAAAGTATTGGCAATGATTTGTTAATGTTTTAATAATCACAACAGCCTGAAAGAAGATAACATTTAATTAATGTTGATACAGGCCTGTAGAGGTAACGTGTTTTCACATAAATACAAATACCATTCGAAAAATAACTCGACAAACCATCAATGGTCCCCATAAGGTCGAGTGATTAAATCAGTGAGTAGTATTTATGCTGGATGCTATAGTGATTCCTTCAGATTCAAATCATATCATCCATTTATTAAAAGAGAATGGGGTCTTCCATTAAGCTAAAACAGGTTATTAAAATGATAGGATTTGAACTACTAAGTGCATTATTTTTTTATATTTCATTAACAACAACCACTTTGCAGACCTAACACCCCGAAAAGCAAAATAAAAGCCAATTATTAAATATCATTTTAAATGATATAATTGTAACCATTTACATTATATACACTATTAATCTTATTTAGTGATGAGACTTTTCTTAAATATTGATTGTTGATTTAATGGAATATATTATATAGCCTAGTTGCAAATAAATACAGAATAAGAACAAGCATGCCAAATTCCTTGTTGATCGTACATGAATTGATGGTAACTTGGGCTTTTTTCGAGGAGTAGCACTTGCTGACCAGATCCCCGATAAAAAAAAGAAAAATTTCCTCATCTTGCCATTATTAACTATAAAAACCAAGTTAGATCTTTGTTATGGTTCTATTCTAGAACACACTGTGCAAACTGACAGCTGCTCGTCCATTCTTCCTGGCCCCCTTTCCGAAACCCATGACACTGTATTATATTGTAGAACCCGACACGTAATCTGTATTTGGTGCGATCAGCGATACAATGATTGAATTGTGATGAAATATGAAATGACAGTGTACTTCTCTTTTTCAGAACCTATAAAATGTTACGTGTGTGCTGGGACAGCACATAATAGTACCTGTGCTGATCCCATAGACTTGAAGATCAATCCGCCTGTCAAAAAGGTCTGCTCTCAGGGAGTCTGCTTAAAATGGACCCACTACAAACTCGGTAAGAAAAGATGCTTTTTATTGAAGAGGGGGGTGGGGGGTGGGTGGGTGTAGTTTTTCACCTACTCTTAAAACAACATTGGTTGTATAGCCTTGTATACAAAATAAAAGTGTTCACTTTTTATATTTCATACCGTCTTGTACATATCTGATATCTCTCGGGCGTTCTAGACATCAAGTTACTCTTCCAAGTCTTGCGGACAAGTCCCTCTGATGTGTATACAATGTGGCGGACTGGTCCAACGGAATATTGGCAAACTGATGACCTTTTATCTCCTTAAAAACCGCTACTTTTATCTGATTCCTTTGCCTACCTTTTGGTATTAAGTGCTATTAAGTTCACCCATTTACATGTTTTCCCGGTAGAAGTTTTAGGCCCAGTCTGTCACTGAGAATGCATCATCATCAGTTCACGTATTGCTATGTGAGTAAACTATTGTCCGTTTACATATAGTAGTGGAATGAATTACAAGTTAAAGAAGCTGAAAACAGTAACCAAATGACATTACACAGGTTTTAAACTCCGGTCAGGTACCATACGCAGTGAAAATAACCTGCATCATAAGTGTCTCAAGTAGGGAGTATAGACTGTCACTGGCACTATAGCGTTGTGGTATATTGTGTTTCCCAGGGGCGCCGGAACGGCGCGGGGCCAGGGTACCAAAAGATATGGGGTTGGGGTGGGCGCGGCCGGGGCCGGCCTCTATAAAATTTTGAAATTTGTCAATACCGAGAACGCTGTTTAGAACGCCTCTAGCATTCCAAATTCCAACATAAAACCCTTTAAAATACATAATAATCAAAGAGACAAAAGCATGATTCACAATTTTCGTATCATGAGCAAGTCATCTCATTAAGAAAATAGAATAAGCTTTTAGAACGAGACAGTAGATTTAGAGACACGATTCTTGCAAGTGCTCATATTCAAGAGCAAGTGTTCACGAGACACTATAATGGGACTATAATCGACCGAAATAATTGATGCGCTGATCAGATTTCACAATAAATTCAGATAATCTCATTAGGGCATGGGTATACATGTATACCCCAGAAAAGGGCAGGGTAGCATTTGTATACTCTGGTACCCGGGTTCCGGCGCCCCTCGTGTTTCCCAATAGCCTATGGCAAGTAGTTCTACGTAAATATGCTTCTTGCTATCAGTTCTGCAAAGGTGCTGTCCATGTTCCTGAGATGGGTGGCGTATGAAGCGATCTTTTGGAGCAGTTGTCACTAAGTCGATAGGCAACGTCTCTCTGTTGGTGACGTTGAGCAAGTCCATGAGGGGGTAACATCCGAATTGCCTTACTACACCGATTCCAGTTGAACCGGCCTACGATATCCACCCTTTTTGGGACAAGCGCTAATCTAGACATTCCATATATATCATTGCTTGTGAACACTTTGAAATTAAAATGCTTTTTCCCCACACGGATGTTATGATTTATGAATGATCCCCAGGGTAGTATATGCTATCATACAACACAGCTTAATATTCTTATGTTCCCCATCTGGGTGTCATTCTTTTGCTGTATATTTATCAAGCAAAATCCACTTCTTTATGCTAACTAGCAGTGGCTATGTATATCAAATGTCCAAGTAAAAAAGAGGTTTATGGACACCTGTTGATAAAACGTTATACCTTTATATATTTTCTTTTATCTTTGTATTCGTTGCAGGTGTACTGGTGATCGAGAGAGTGTGTTCAGCCGATATAAACTTTCAATTAACATTAATAGACGGCGTGTGCCGAACAGAAAGAAATAATAACGGATATTTATGTATGTGTGGAAAGCATTTGTGTAATTCGACAAGCCGAGTGCGATTATCTCCCGTTGTTATCCTACTCTTACTTTTGTGCTATAGCTTGATCTCTCAAAGGGTGCTACCATGGCAACGATGACGTCAATTCTGACAGTATATACATGTAATAAAGTGTGAAAAATGTTTGCTATGTGTGGTGCGCCAAACTGCCTTATGGGCTTTCAGAAAGTTTATTTGTTGTTTTATCTGTGCTATGAAACGTTCCACGTTTCAAATCGAATTATCTATGCATTTTCGACGACCTATGGCTGTCGGAAGTCACATGACGTAGGCTAAACGACGCTGGGGGATAACTATGACAAGACCTTGGACATTTAAAAAAGAGTGGGACGGGTATATGAAAAATCAATTTTAAAAAAATTGTACCAGAAATACATATGGATCATCTGTGTTAAAAGGAAAACAGGGGATACCGGAAGTAGTTTAATAAGACGACGGAATTTATTTAGTAAGAATGCGAATTGCGACTGAAGCCTATGTTAGGCTATAAAATTATGAGAAATGCGTCAAAGCTTGGAATAGATGGGGAAGGATGATTCAACGGTTGCCCTGTTTGGGTTTTACAGATTGTTATTTAAACTTCTAAGTTAATAAAATGTTACCCGTCTCTTTAAAGTCCCCACAGTAAATAATATATATCAAGGATTTTAGCAGCGTCAAGTCTGATGTCATGTGTACAAGATGACGAATTATGACGTGTATATGTTATTGTATATAAATGATATAAACTGTGTCGTGACATCATATACCAGTATGTAAATATGTGACGTATACATAAACGTCAATCTAGTCGCTAGTATTGAATAGCTAGTGCTCATATTCCTCATTTTATTTCAAAACATTTTCCATAGTAATTTATTTATTCATCTTTGACCCTTTCTCAATTATATTAACTCTTAATTATGCATTCGTTTACAATAGGATCTCCCTTTCCCTTTTTATACACCCACATTAGAATGTGGTCTTATATTGTCATTAGCACCGTTGGTCCGTCATCCACACTTTCCTGTGATCACCCGATTGACTTAAATTTATATACAGTGTTTACGTTTAGGAGACGAAAAGGCTATTGATTTTCAACAATTTATGATAATTGTAGTCGTAGTTATCCCCCTTGATCTAGTTGAAAACACAGATTTCCGATCACCCGATAAGCTAAAGTTATCAACTGATTGCCGGTACATGTTTTGTATAATAAATGCTAGCACTAGAAAGAGTTAGATGCCAATCGAATTTTAATTATTTCTGTTACCCTGGATCAGTGTTTTGTGAATGACCTTTGTGGACTGCGCAGATGACTTAGCTCCTGTTGGCGTATGTTTCGTTGCCTGTAGTTTTTAATTTGACCAAACTGTCTTTCGAATTATCCGAGCTTAAGGGTGAACACATTTAGTCTGACATCTGACATAGGTGGGAGTAATTATTCTTCTAAAAACTGAAATCATATTTCTAGACAAACTGGGAGTCCCGGTGTCTAGCTAATCAGGGAATCTCGGGTTTGCTCCCGGCGTTTGCCGAGAAAGTTTTCCGGGATTTCCGGTGTGGTGTCCCCAGTGGTTAAGGCATGGTAAATAAAGAACAACTTCTTGTCGATCAGATGGTACGAAAACATAACCATTGACAGTTGGAACTCGAAATATGAGTAAGCCTCGTAGCACACTGTTGGAAAGGTGCAAGCATGGAGGACCATAACACCATTCATTTCTTCACAAACTAGTTGTTAATTTACATGGGAAAGGATAGCTAAATAGGATTGTTGTCATGAATTGTAAAAAAGATATTTACATGTAAGTGACTGGAATATCAAAACATAAGCAAAAGAGTTATCCCATGTAAGTCATGTTTAAAGGAGTTCAGGCGGGAATAGAGACAACAGGAGTATTCCACCATAAAGTTCTGAATAGACAGAAGGGGTGGCCAACCGTTTAGGTTCCATGTGCCAAATATTATCCGCACGACTTCAGATTTGCCATATTACTTTAAAAGATTAAATCAAGAAAAACATAAACATTATTTACCTTATCCCCTGTGGCCGAATCATCAGAGTACTCTGTGATACCACGTTTTTTTAAATAATAGCTCGTCTTCAGTAGATTGGCCGATGTGGAAAAAGGGCCATAAACCCCATCTCATTTCATTTACTTCAGTAATCGGAGAAAATTACGGTCTATCTGGTCTTTTTTTATATATTAGAACATTATTATCATCAGATGCAATGTGTTACTCGGAATGTTCCAATGTTCCCTAGAAAAAGCTACACGGCATGAACTACACTTTAAGGGAAACTATCTTGAAGGGTAGATTTTTTTTACATAATGTATAAATGCGCCATTTGATTTTGATTGGTTTGTGTGTTAACTGTTAATCCATACGTTTGAATGATTCCATATTATATTTATTCAAATAAGGCAGATAACTCTGCCATGGTTTGTATTTGATTTCAGAATACTTTGATTTAGTTTAGTGTATATAGGCCTACATATAACTTAACATTTAACATTTTTTTCTGTTTTAATTTATTTTAATTTCATTTGAAGAGACAATCTGACTTTCTATGTAAATTATGTCCATTTAAACAAAGAATACGTAATTCTTTAATTTTTAAGAATTATCTTTCTTATCAATATGTTGTACAGTATCAGAAGCTTTTAAATCTGCCAAAGGAAAGAAATATCATGCAGTTCTTTTTAGTATTATTTAATTGTGTGGTTTTCAATTTTACTCTTTGCTCTAATACCATTTTTGAACAAAAGTGGAGACAACTCTTTAATTGATTTTAATTGCTTTCAAACCCACGTGGGGATACCTCTTTGACCAGAACTTGATACCAAAAACTTAAATTCAACACCACAACGAATAGTTCAAGATTTCACAAGTATATTGGTTAAGGGTAAAGACAATTATTGGGCTGCTACTTCACCCTCGTATTCAAATCAAAATTGTAAGAGTGACGTAAACAGAATATTTCAATTTCTGATATCATCATCGCTTATCATACTCCGGTTACAAGGATAAGCTATATTAAAATCAATAAGAAAAAGTGCAATTGTGGTTGAGAGTCAACCAAAGTGTAGTACCCGTTGAGAGTCAACCAAAGTGTAGTACCCGTTGAGAGTCAACCAAAGTGTAATACTTGTTGACAGCCAATCAAAGTGTAATACTTATTGACAGTCAACCAAAGTGTAATATTGGTTGACAGACAACAAAAGTGTAATACTTGCTGACAGCCAACAAAAGTGTAATACTGGCAGACAGCCAATCAAAGTCTAATACTGGCTGACGGTCAACCAAAGTCTTACTTCGACATTAACATGCTATGTTAATAAAAAGCCTAGGTGATTTTTAAATGAGGTCATTTTGTTTAACTTTTTGAGCGTTTGTGCAATTTCAAAGATAGTTCAATATATTTAAATAGTTTAATTTATTGAAAATATATTAGTCTTCCACGGTTCACTTTTAAAGATATGCAAATTATATGTAAATAATATTGTATTTATGATGACTATTCATATAATATTATAATTAATTACGTATATGCAGTATTCTATGCACCTAAGATTCTTGTTGGGAGCTCAAGAGGCGCCTTATAGAATTATATCGCTTAACGATTTAATCCTTTTTATCTTTTTGTAGAATTCCGAACACCATATTATATTCTTATTCAAATTCTTCACCGAGGGCACAGTAAAATTAGAGTAAACACAGTTCGAGGAATTCGGTATGTTATAGCAAATCTAAATTAGCGAACTGGTCCATAAAGGTATCAACGGTTTTATGAAATAACCCACCCGCTTATTTCTATAATTTCCTGCTGTCGCCCGCGTTTCGAAGAAAGTGGGGCACTTGTATAATTGGTTTGCCCGTCTGCCTGGAACACAATATTTCTTTTAAATTAGCTACAAACATGGTGTGGGTATTTATTAGGTGAATGCCTTGACTTCGTTCGACGATTAGCATTTACTGCTTAGGCCAGAGTACAGATAAAGCAATTTGAATCGTCAATGCTTTGGAACACGATAATTTGGGTCTAATTTAATAAAGTGATGGAAGTTGTTGTATATAGTTTCACTATACAACAAAACCTTGACTAAGTTCGATTATGAGTGTTTTATGCATAGATGGCTTATTAGCAGTACCGTTGTTCGACGCTTTGCAAAAAGATAAATCTGCAATTGATCAATATGTGGCACATTATTATTTTGAGATTAAAGAGGATGACCAGCATCCCTGTTTGCTTGTTCAAACTTTAATAGCTCGGTCAATGGTTAAAATCCTATCTGATTAAAACATAGATCCTATTTCGTTTCGTTTTTATAGTTCATAATTTCGCTTTACTTGTCTTTTCTACACTAGGATCTGGAAGAGTTGTTATCATTGACGTGTTCTGAATGATGTAGGCTATTAGCCAATGAAACGGTCTGTTACGGCGAGCTTTAGGCGTGTTTGGCACGGAACTGTGGGTAATCCACTAGTAACATCAATACTGATTGGTTAATCAAATGTCTGACGTCATAGGGTCCCCGCTCGTATGACCTCTGACGCGGCCTATCGCTACAACCGGTCAGATCTTCATGTAGTGTAGGCCATCGAAAGTATAAAAAACGAAACGAAATATAGATCTGTATTTTAATCAGATTAGTTAAAATCTGAACATACTTGTGAATTAGTGGAACCCTTGACGTACCTGTAGAGACATTCTAGTACATGTATATCATTTCAGTTATTGAACCAAATAAACGATGCCACTTTATGAATTGATTAGTACTTTAGTTAATCCATGGTAACTTGTGTACCTTAGTTAATCAGCAATACTTAAGTTAATTCATGGTAAGTGCTGGTACTATGTATTTGCTCAAAGGAAATGCCAAGCTAACAGGACTAACTGAAATCAATAAGTGAAGAAAAAAACCCACGATTCCATTTAAAAATCAACTGAAAATAAGGTCCAGTGTCTGGATTAGTACTTCAGAGATGACCAATTCCCAATTTCTGTTACAAAAAATATTGTGAAGTATATAATTGTAGCTTATCTTCCTTATTAAGTTATTTTTATCGTCACCGCCATTATATAAAGCGAATTAAAGTATGAAATAAAAACAAACTATATATGTATGTACATAAGCAGAGTTTCTAGAAAAACAATTACATTTTCTTTAAATTACTATTAGTCAAATTGTCTTTTTCTGTTATTTAATGTTATTATAATATAAATATATATATAAACATACACACACACACATGTATATTAATGCTGTAAATTGGATTGAACTTTGACATTTAACCTTTAACATGTTTCACCTTTGAACCCTGTAATATACCCTTTTTCTAATGATTAATTATTATACACTGTTAACAAGAAATAAATGATTTAAGAAATTAGAATTAAATTCGTGGTTCAATATTTATGGATTTTCGGATGTCGTCAATTTTTTTATATATGAACATTCAGTTTTTAAGACGGAAGAACTGGCTAAATATTAACAAAACCGCATCTGAATCCTGTCCGTTTCTATGGATCCGTAGGCTAGCCGTAAGCGTCCATGTTGCCACGAGGGTCGTCAGTCCGCATCTTACTGACGTTTCGGGGCATGTATTCGCAACCGTAACGCGTGGCTATGTTTTTTTATTTTATCTGCTGTTAATTCTCTAGTGACCTTGATGAAAAACGTGTTGATGAGCTATATCTGTTGTCATTACTTTCAGCAATAATTCTGCTGGCCAAGTCATTAAAACTCCGCCACGAACTGTGAAAAATGGACAGCGTTGTAACGTATTCGACGATGCTAAATTTTTATTCCCACTTTAGCGAAGAACGTTATCATTCTCTCAACATCTTGTCGGCTCGAGTTAGGTTAGATCCAACTATGATTGGCTGTTATGGATTAAGCCTGTACTTCCCTAAGCGGTGTCTTTGGTTCACCGCAAATGCAGGAAAATGAGGAACACATTAATCACGGGTGTACCTCGCCCCGATTCAATAACCCATACTGGTAAGTCAGCAGCTAAGAGAACCACCAAACACGTTTTTAGTCCATAGATTAATAGATCTTTGGACTTTACTCTTGGATTTGAAACTAACGCGATATAATATGCTTCTTTACTATTTGGAATTTCTTAATAATTATGTTAAGTATAACCGTGTTTTTGAAAAGTTGTATATTTTCCATCTTTCTTATTCAATGTTGTTGGTCAGTATAGAATAGTAAAAATAAATCTGTATCAATGAAGGGGAGATAACTACACACCACTCTGGACTGACGCTAACACTACTTTTTGCAGAATTTCACATTAGCCGATGATGACTAAGCCAAGAAGCAGTTGATTTTAAACCTGTTACACAATAATTTGAATTAGTAAATTAAAAAATATCTTTACAACCATTGATAGTCGTGCCTTTTCCGAAAAAATAAAATTTAACAAACAAAATAGAACTCGACACACTTTGTTCAAAACCAACAAAAGTAGGCAAGGCTCACGATAACATTTCATTCATGCACCACAAATTATTCATAATAGCTAATAAAATGCATCTCAAACATATTTTCAATACTGTATTTACAGTTAAAATAGAAATTCACGGTATAAATATATTGTCATCAATCGCATTTTGTTAAGAATCAACCTGACGCCAAAGACAAATAAAACGAGAATGTCATATCTCCACACGTTCATTGAATTTGGAGGGAAAGTTTTCATCAAGTCCTTGGTATTGCAGTTATTCGATTGCCGTCATTGCCCGCTTTTGCTGGACTTTGACTACTGTGATTTGACTACTAGGTGTATTTTTATCACTATAATGTTGAAGTTCCTAATATCGGTCAGCATCTTTGTGGAATAATACGGTATTAACTTGGAAGGCGAAACACTTTAGTAACTACTTGTATTCCCATGTGTAGCAACTGTGTCCATCTTATCTGCGCATTTATTTCTACATGGATATCAGAGGCGGATTTAAGGGGGGCGCAAGGGGCGCCCCCCCCCCCTAATTTTCGACAATGCCCTTTTTTACTGCTGAAAGTGCCCTTTCTCAGACCCAAATATGTCCGTTCCCAACCCGTTGCAGGAATCCCAAATGACTCAAACCTACGATTCAAACACACCAGTCTGGTCTAATTATAATGCTTTCACTTTCAAACGAATTCTTGTTGTTTAGCTGACGGTGCCCTAATCCTATAGAGTGGCTATAGACAGACATCTTGTGGAATCGGCGGCGTATACACTCATACCCATCACCGACGCACATGAGTGCAACTTGATATAGCATTGTTTCATGTGTGGACAGTACAAAGTACAAGTTACAAGGCTTAAATAGTGAAGTGGCTTGGGAATAGATTTGTCTTTTTTCCCATCATAATGCCTCGCTCGCCTTGACAGTTTTCGAGTTGCATGTTCAACTGGCTTTTTTGCTCGATTTTAAAGCTATTTTTTAACGATTTCCGAACGTTTACTTAGACGAAAATATCAGCCAAATAGCTCTTGGAATGGCTACAGATGCAAGGAAATTACGGATAATTTTCTTGGGGGACCCCCCCCCCCCAAAAAAAAAAAATCCCCTCTCAGCGGCGTGCCCCGTCTCCGCGGTCAGTGCCCCCATTTTGCGGCGCCCCCCCCCCCCTTTTTTTCCCATCATAATGCCTCGCTCGCCTTGACAGTTTTCGAGTCGCATGTTCAAGTGGCTTTTTTGCTCGATTTTAAAGCTATTTTTCAACGATTTCCGAACGTTTACTTAGACGAAAATATCAGCCAAATAGCTCTTGGGATGGCTACAGATGCAAGGAAATTACGGATAATTTTCTTGGGGACTCCCCCCCCCCCCAAAAAAAAAATCCCCTCTCAGCGGCGTGCCCCGTCTCCCCTTTTCAAAATTCCTAGATCCGCCCCTGGATATCTACATGTATATACTACTAAACATTTGCTGTTCATTTGGTTATTATAATGTTTTAAAGTTTCAATTGCCAGTGTTTGCAGAATAGTATAAATTGAGCAATTTTTACGGTTCACAAAGGCCAAGGAAACAGTATTTCAGTAGTGTTTATGATCACCATTGCCATTATAATTAGGCTATGATCTGAGAATCTGGATAACAACTGAACGAGAATATGAGATTATTAGCCTCACCATAACTTATTACTACGACCAATTATATCTTCTGAACGCATTTCGGCACAAACGTACATTACGACGTCAGTAACCTTGTGTTGTACGTCGTTAGAGCTATCGCAATTCATCACTGAACACATGTCCTCCTTCACTGATATTTTAGGGCCACTGCCGCCATGGTTGTTGAAGGTGAGGTGTCAGACTATTGCCACTTACCGGTCAATGAACTAAAATTCTTGAACATACGACGGAGGGTTCCTGCTCACAAGTTGTTCCTTCAGCATATTGGCGGTGCTACATTTCAATTTTCCTACACAATTATATATGTTCAAGTGATAAAAAAAATTCAATTGTTTTAAACGCCCCATTAAGTGGTTGAAAAGAAGTTGTAAACGACTAATTTCGCCACTATCGCACGCCGATTGGACCAAGAAACTATATATACTAAACAGCAAAAAAAAAAAACGTCAGTACGATTTCAAAATCAGAGAGGCCTTTTAATCAAATCATTCTAGAAAACGACTTACTAAATTGATGAAAGCAATTTTTTTGTGAACAGTATGTTGACACATTAGTGATTAATTCATCACAATTAATTTCAAGACACAGTCTATACATCAGTATCTGGTGTGTTCACCAGACGATTGGAACCACACCTGGAACCACACTCTATCGGCTGTGTTTGGTTTCCGTACGACGTTATTAAGTCTCCTCTGAATTTTATCCCAAAGATGCTCAATCGGGTTTAAGTCCGGACTAAGGGCTGGCCTGTGCATAACGCTGACACCATTCTGCTGTAGAATGACCCGAGTAACTCTGGCGGTGTGGGCACGGGCGCTCCTGCTGGAAAACGTTGTTTCGATGACGTGCGAAATGTGGTATGACGTGGGGTCTGAGAGTTTGATCGATGTAGCGCACTGCTGTGATGCTGCCTCCTCTCCCTGGACCAAAATTTTGGAACACCACAGGACCCACTCTCTGGTTCAGGCCGATTCCACCCCAAACCATTATGCCTGGACCTCCCCATGAGTCTCGTTCCATGACACATTGGTCAGAATAACGCTGGCCACGTCGACGCCATATTCTGGTCCTGGCATCTGCAGTTGATACGCAATACCGACTCTCATCGGTGAACAGAACAGTTCTCCATTGCCTGTGTCGCCAGTTCTGGTGTTTTGGGGCAAACTGTAGACGTTCACGTCGATGAGGAGGGGTGAGGATCGGTCTACGGCAATGGATGTTCTCTCTGGTGAGACGTCGGTGCACTGTATCGGTACTGATAGGTCTTCCGTGTGTTCCCACTGCCTGGTGTGCTGCCTCAGATGCCTGTGTGAAGGGATTCTGCACGTGCTGTCGCACAACATGTCGGTCTTGTCGCCTTGTGGTAACCCTTGGTCTACCAGTTCGGGGCGATCATCCGTGGTGTTGTTGGCCCGAAAGCGTTGCTGAAGCCTGTAGATGGTCCGAACATTGAAGTAGAAGTTATTGGCAACGGCTTGGGCAGTGTGGTCAGCGTCGAGTCTTCCAAGCGCCTGGTTCCTCTGAGCTGTCATGAGTCGTGGCATGCTGCTGACGTTGTAGTGTGATTGATTCAACCAGGTATGGAGGTGCATTTTATATGACTGGTCCCAGTGAACAGCACGTGCAGCA